TTAACAATGCAGATTTATTTTCACAGCCTTCTTTGATCATATTTACCAAGGGTGCCAATAATTCTGACCACGACTGTAACATCTTCATTATACTTTTTACTGTTCTTCAGTGTTTAATTTATGTTTGAATAAATCCATCAAGTTTTTATGACAGCCACCATTATGTTTATATATAAAAAAACGAATTGAAGTAGAAATGTTATTATGCAATTGTAACTTTATTATTTTAAAAACATTAAGTGTAATTTTAAACCAAACCAAATCATTACGTTCAGCCACAATGTCTTAACTCTGAATCAAAGGCCAGAGGAAGAAAGGTATGAAGAAATGGGAATCCTAGAAGTCTGCTCTTCTTCTGTGTGAGGCATTGGTATGATCTCAGTACATCTGTTTTGTTTTCCACATTTCATAGGTCGAAGAAAACCACTTGAACCGACAAAAACCCTGTAATGGTGCAGTGGAAAAAGTGCTTCCTGACCCACACTTGCCCCCTAAATCTCCAAGTTGGGACATTCTTAACTCAACAGGTCCATCTACAGCAACCATTAGCAATATAGACATTGAAATCCAATCCCAGGAACAAAAACAGAGAAAAGCCAAAAAACCCAGCAGCCATCAGAACCACAAGCCGCCATCTGTGAGCAAGAGGAGAGAGAAAGAGGAGAAAGAAGATCCTGGTCCTGCTCAGACACACCCTCTGAAACAAGCATTAGGTGTCAGCAGAGCGGAGGATAAGATGTCAGCGAATGGACTGATATCTCCAAACTCAACTACACCCAAGCCTGCAGATCGAACCAAGATGCTAAGCAAGAATCAGGCTCTTAATGCAAGTATGGACCTTGAAGACGACACTATGAAGCTTCTGCAGGAGGCAGGGATGGAGGACATCCCACACGAGCCTATGGAACAACATCACAATGCTGAGACAAAGTCAGAGAGCCAAAGAAAGACTGTTGATGATGATCTTAGCAACGCTTGTGTCCTAAAGAATGTTCCCACTGGAAGTTCAACTGAGGAGAGTGAGGTAAGTTACTGTGATGGAACTGTGATCGAAACTTTTGATATGTTTGCCTAATTTCTAATTATTCCAACATTGATGGGCATCAAAATATATTACGAATTGTGCTAAAATAAAGATTCAGTGTTAAAGTTTAGGATTTTTACCTTTACTCAACCTTGTGCCATTCCCTTATGACTTACTTTCTTCTGTGGAACATAAAAGAAGATACTTTGAGAAATATCTTAGTGGGTTTTGTCCATAAAGTGGAAGTTAAAATGTCATCAAAACTGTTTAGTAATCAGCATTCGTTGAAATATCTCCTTTTGCATTCCAAATAAGAAAGAAACTCGTATGGGTTTGGAACCACAACATTTAATGTCTGTATTTTTTGATTGATTGTGCTTTTCTTTACTCTGAAGACAATGTGTTTGTTGTCCTTCATATTCCAGGGAAGTTTAGACTCCACAGAGAAACTACTCAAGCCTGTTCCGGTAATTGTAACGGTAAAACACTGGTATTTATTTATTTTATTTTTTTAATTGTTTGCTTTTGGCAAGATTTTTAAATTGTTTGTTTTTGTTTTTGAGACAGATTAAAGTGTTCAAATAACTAGTTTATTTATTTATATTATTATAAATATTGCATAAATTATTTATTTATTTAATTCTTAAACTTTTTTTTGTTTGTTTTGTTTGTTTGTTTTAATTGGTCATTTAAATGCAAATAATTATTTTATTGTTTTTGTTGTTGATGCTGTAAATTATTAACTAAATATTTTTAATTTATATTTTTATTATATATTTATTTCCTTTAAAGAAAATGTAAACCAATTTAAACATTTATAATAACATTTTAGGAGCCTTCCAGTTCAGAGTCCACTTCAGCTCTCTCAGATCAAAGCAGACCAGTTCTTCAGCCCTCTTCCTCTGAACCATCCATGTCACATCAGCACAGGCAGAAGAAGAAAGACAAGTCCCTCGATGACCAGAACAGCCATCAAGTGAGCAGTGTGGACATTGCACAGGTTTTTTTTTTGCTCTTGTATTTTAGTATTCAGTGATAACTAAAATATTAAATCATGTTTTTTTTTAATCAAACACTTAACATGAACCAGAATTAATTCAGATTTAATTACTGTTGTCTTTCGCTTGTTTAGGTCAAAGCAGTGCCCAGACCTCTGCCACCTCTTCCGGAAGATGTCCTATCAGTAAACAATGAACAGAAAGGCCACAGACCTGCCAATCTCTCGTCCTCTACCAAGAACTGTCCAGAGCAGCAGGTGAACCATTACGGACTGTACAGACTATATTAAACAGCTGCACACAGCATATCCCTATAAAAATGCATGTCAGATACATACATGCATGTAGTAATCTGATGCTGCTGCTGCTGCTGTTGTCAACAGAACTCACTTTACTTACAGAACCGTCCACTGTCAGCCAGGGAAAGGAGAAGACTGAAGCAATTACAGGAGAACTCCAGACAACAAGGTTTGTGGATTTCTCTGAATGCCATTCAATTGAATTTTGAAATGTTTAAAATACAACAGCGTGAATGGAAGTGGACCAGAGCAAGATCTGAACACACTTTTAGGGTCAAGAACAATGACCAAGTTAACATGGCCATTACATGGCCATAATAAAAATATTAAAAAAAATTTTGTACATTGAAATAAAGCTGAAATTAAATATTAGATGAGAAACTAAAACTAAATGATATTTAGAAATGTTGCATTTGCAACTGTCTTAAGTAAGTTTACATTGAAGCACGAAACTACTAACTGGTAATAAATAAAACCAAAACTGAAAACTAACTAAAGCTGAAACTGAAATAAAAATAAATGAAACATAAGCAGTGACATGAAAAAAAAAAAGTATGAATAAAAATGACAAAATCACATTGCAAAATTACAATTAAACAAAAATGTTAATGAAAACAATAAAAGCTAATTCAAATTATTAATAAAAAACTATATTATATAAATAATACTACACCGTTTTATTTCTGTATTCATGTAATTGGAATAAACATTCTGAATAAATTTAGACATGCTAATATTGCACTATTCTTTGGCATATACGCAGTCAATATGCAGGCTAGATTTTAAACCGTTCACTTTTTAGTCCATTTAAAAGGGGTCTGACTTTCATTCTGTTAAAGCGGCCTCAAGAGCGATAACACCCTTAAGAACCATTTTGGTGGATCAAAGTGAGACGCTTGTGCATGTGTCCATTGGAATGCATAAGAGAGCTGCCCACAGCTGCTGCATACATCAATTCAGATGAAAGGAGATTTTGTACAGCTTCATTGAATATGATTTCTTAGTTTATTTTCTTTGAAGCTGTGTCCGCTGTCAAAAGGGTGCCTTGTGATGTCCCCTCATTAGACAGTAAGCAGACAGACCATCTAGACTGCCCAAGACCTGCCAGCACAACTTTGGAAACAAGAAAGGTATGTCTGATCTTTCTCGATGACTCAGGGCGCACTGTCAAACACTATACATTATTTTGTGTTCTGCAGAAGAGTCACTCAGATTTGGAATCGCATGAGGGTGGGTAAATGGTGAGAGAAATGTCATATTTGGGTGAACTATCGTTTTTAATAAATAAACCGGACCATCTCAACACGGTAAACCTTAAGATAGGCTCTATGGAACCATTCGAAGCAGATGCTATCTAACATAACCTCAGCTACTTGGTCAAAAGGGATCTTACCTGAACTATTTTGGTTCCCTTTGTGTATCAGGAGAGGAAGTGCTCATGGAGACAGTCTGACGAAGACGATTGTAGTTCCTCCACCAGCTCCACTGAACGTTCAGAGGGCGACTACAGAGAACGGTAAGACCTCCCACTAATTTGTACTCTAATGAGACATAACTGGCCGCATTTATGCATGTAAAAATTCTGAAGTGAGCCAGAAATCGGTCATATTCTGATTATGCGTCTGTCATGTAAATCTGTTAACCATCTTGCCAATATTCTGGTTTTTAGAAATCTGAATAAGACGGCTGGCATTTGTTCTTTGCATTGTTTCTGAAATTGCTTTTTTTACAGAAAGTTTGAGACCAATGAGATGCAAGACTTGGTCCAAATGATGACGCAAACGTTACACATGGATGCCAGAGATGTATCATTTGAGCCAGATGGGTCAAGATGCCACTCCACTCCACTGCCTGAGTTCAAACTAAACAGGAAGTACAGGGACACCCTGATGCTTCATGGGAAATCCAGAGAGGGACAGGGAGATTACCAAATCAGTGGCTTCCCGTTAGGTAACAACTCAAGTTGTTTTACGTTTTATTTTGTTTTCCTGGAACATTTACCCATCTGCAAATGAAATATTTTGAGTAAATGTGAATTTAAGCAATTTTTTTTCGGTGACAGAATTTATCACCATGTTCCTAATTTTGTGTTTTTAGACGACAGCACGGGTCCAGCAAAGGTCAGGAGAGTGATCGAGCACTTGCGTACAGATGTGGTTAAAGGACTCGGGGTGAAGCTATTGGACAGAGTCCTGGACCTCATGCAGGAAGAGGATGAAGAGAAGAGAGAGGCAAGTTAACTAAAGTCTCATTGTATATTAGAAATAAACATAACAGTCTATACTAATATGCTGTTGATTAGAACTTCTCAGTACCAGACAATGGGTCTCATTCACTAAAAATGTGTGAAATCTGTGCATGTACAAATCATCATTCAATAACTTTTGTATTGCAATTTATTGTTAATTCATGAAAAAATTGAGGTTGAAACAAACATCAAGTATGCAGAAAATAACTTTTTTTTTTTCATGAGTTCTCCTGTGCACATACAGTAAATAAAATATTCTATACTATTATTAGTACACGAGACCCATTGATTTTAGAGTAAAGTGACATTTAAATGAGATGTATTTATATTTAAAACACTTTTATTTTAATGGGAAAAAATAATTTTTAGAATTAAATGGCAGTTAGGCTAACAGATTTCTATTCTGTTTTTTATATCCAGCACCTACTGCAAGAGCTAATGGGGGAGGAAAAATACAAGCAGTATGCAATGAAAGTCCAACAGCTGAAGTTCTTTGAGGACGTTGCATTCACGGACTGAGCCAGATGCACACGAGGGATCCCTTATCAAACACTGATATGCCATTACTGCTGGTGGGCAGCAGACTTTTGTGCTCTTAAAACACTTCACTGAAGCCTCTTATCAACAATCACCGTTACTTTTTTAATGTTTTTGTAAATGTGATAGAAGTGAGTTGAACATAGATATGCAAAAAAAAAAAAATGCTGTTATTATGCACCTTTAAATTTCACAAAAGCATTATTTTCAGACATCATCTTTCTTTTGGAAATGTGAACCTATGCTATGTAGATAGCAATCTTGAATCACAAAAGAGATGTTAAAAATAGTTGACTTTTTTCTATTTTCTGAACTGTATATTTATATTACGATATAATATAAATCAATAAGGAATGATTTATAATAAATGACACTTTTAGGAACCCCGTTCTGTCTTTTGCTAACAACCCAAACTCAAACAAAACCAAAAAGGCCAAACAAAAGTACCAAACGCAGTTCTTTATTACATACTGAATGTTCAAATAGAGACAAAAATGAATAGGTTTGTTTCTGTTGGATATCTATATGACTTTGCTGTGCCAAATCCAAACTAAAATACTGCCGTGCATCACTTGTGCTTCTTCTTCTTCTGAATCTCTTGAAGTTTGTCACGATTTTCTCCAGATGTCTCGGGCATAGCCGGCTGCCAGTTCAAATGATTTTTTCTGTACACTGGCCAGGGAGGCAGGGTGAGCTAAAGAACAGGACACAGCCAGAATTACACTTTTTTTTTTCCACTTTTAACTTCAAATTAAGCAAAGAGTATTCTTATGACATACCAAACATGATATTGTGAATCCAGCCAACATTATGTAAACTGTCCACCCAAACTGCTGAATAGTAAAGCCATATATGAAGCCGATCACCTGCAGGGAAAGCAGACATGAGGCAGAGCAGAAATGACATTATGTTGTTGTGATGGCTGTGAGAGTAAAAGTGCTGCCAGTGTTACTTACCGCCGACACCAGAATGACTCCTTGGAAAATTTGCTCTGCAAGTTTCTGTCCTTTATAGTCCTGCAAACAGTCATTGTAAACATGAATATTCATGTTGCCTTAGGTTGTGCGATAAATTGTATACGTTGATCTAAGATAATTCATTCTCATTCCGTTTCTTATTGATACTAGAAACTTCAGAGCTGTAAAGACCATGCATAAGATAAGACATTTTTTTCTTGGTGTAGGTTTTGCAAGAAATGCTAAACAATAAAGTAATGCTACCTTTTAGAATTCATAAATGCATCATTTGCAAACTTTACAAATTTCTGATTTGAAAGTGCAAAATACTCGGGTCACATTTCAACCGCATAAAGTAACTGCCTCAACACCCAATATATATGTTATAGATTACGTTATAAATATATTTGATAAGAAATATTGTATCATACTTGTTACATTCACAATTCTTGTCAAGCTCGGAGTGCACACTCGTTTCAAACACTTTGGTTCTGATACCAGCACTAACTATTTGGTGTTGCTGTGTTGATTACTGTAGCAAAATATTACTAGAAGATGTTATATAGTTGAAATGAACAGGTCCGTCGCTAATGCGTTAGCTGCTAACATGCCAGTATATCGAACTCGCATTATAAACACATGCACGCAGAGGAATACTAATGTATCGCAAACATAGGCTTACCATGTGTGTCGGAATGGATTTAAACGCTGAAAGCATTTTGAAATGACAAAATAAAGCTGCTTGACAATATTATTGAGAAGAGAGTGATGGTTTCCTGTTTGAAAGTGTGTACGTAGAGTTCCGCAGGACCCCTCACAAAAACATCAGCGGGGCTAAAATGCGTGCTATCTGCGCAGTCCAGTGGAAAATACGTCTTGTGACTGGAAATTATATCTCTCGGTGCAATTGTTGCTTACATAATAAGATAATACGCACTCAAAGCAGTAGCTGTGCGATTATAAATGAAAATAAATGTATGTTTTTAACCAGGCAGTAATCTAGACGCCCACGTCAGACCACTTATGGCCGCAGAAATGATCAGATCTGTAACTCATAGGGAACCACTCACACACACATAAGCAGGAATGATTCAGGACAGACTCAAGGATTTTGATTCATCTCAGTTATGCGAATCTTTTGTATCATTTCACTCTTTTTCTCATTGGTTCGTTTTAGTCTGTGACCCTTCTGCAGGTTTTACATCGTTACGCTAGTAGGACAAGCGAACTTTTTGAGTTACGAGTCAATGAATCATTCACTCATTTATTTCTTTTTTTTTTTAATTCACCGAATCATGAACGAGACGAGTCTTGTTATCATATTTTCATTCCGTCTTCTTCACTGCATGGTAAAGGTTTTTACATTGACAAAGCATTTGCACACAATAAAAAATACATTAATGTTTGATAAAATAATAACACTGAGAAAGAAAACACTCGCTGTGAAGCTCCGAGTCACATTCAAGACTCCAAACAAGCGACTCGTTCTGTGAAGGGGCGGTTCGTTTGGTAGGTCAAGCCAATGAAATGCTCCTTCAAAGACCACACTCGAATTCTATTGGCTCTCGCTGCTGTCAGTCTTTGGAAGTAGAAAAGCAGACGAGTCAATACAAGATATCAAAAGATTCACTCGCTGCTGTTGTGCGCTATCAATATCGCATATGTATCAGTAAAGGTCTTGTCGGCTGTGCCGTGTTCTCTGCTGGACTGAAGGGTAGCTGGACTTGTTGATGTTGAGTTGGCGTTTTGGATGAAGAGCCGAAGAGAGTCCAGACATTATAACGAAAAAGGTTTGTAACGTTACACCGGCAGTTTTTATTCTTTTGTGTTGTTAAACGTTTTGGAGTTGCTTCTTTGCCTAAATGCTTTTTGTTTGTATGTGCAGGATATTTTTTTTTCCTTTTGTGATTTCAGTCTCAAACTGTTTCTGTTATATTCCACTTAGCCCTCAGTTAAATACACATTCATGGTGTTTTCTATGCTGTTTTACTAATGTTACTGTTTGTTTTGATGTAGAATTTAAACTCAAGTGCTGTTGATAGAGTGCCATGACTGTACGCAGAGGTGAATATTTTATACGAGTTAACAGACACACACACACACACACACACAAGCTCAAAAATTAAAATTCATCATTTACTCACCCTCCACTTGTTCCAAACCTGTGAGTTTCTTTCTTCTGCTGAGCACAAAAGAGGATATATTCTAGAATAAAGTTGTTAACCAAACCAGCCATTGACTACCATAATATTTATATATAAATAATTTTCTTCTGCCTACCTACCAAGCCTGTATTTATTTGATCCAAAATACAGCAAAAGCAATAATATTGTGAAATATGTTTACTATTTAAAAGAACTGCTTTCTATTTGAATATATTTGAAAATGATTTGCTGCTAAAAAAAAACAAAAAAACATTTATTATTATTATGTTGAAAATAGCGGAGTATATTTCTTTGATGGATAGAGAAGAACAGATTTAAAAGAACTGCTTTCTATTTGAATATATTTGAAAATGATTTGCTGCTAAAAAAAAACAAAAAAACATTTATTATTATTATGTTGAAAATAGCGGAGTATATTTCTTTGATGGATAGAAAGTTCAGAAGAACAGCATTTATCTGAAACAGAAATCTTTTGTAACATTATAAATGTCTTTATCATCACTTATTAACGATTTATTGCATCCTTGCTAATTAAAAGTATTCATTTCTATAATAAGGATAACGTGACACTGAAGACTGGAGTAATGATGCTGAAAATTCAGCTTTGAAATCACAGGAATAAATTACATTTAAAAATACATTCAAATAGAAAGCAGTTATTTTAAATAGTAAAAATATTTCACAATATTACAACTTTTGCTGTACTTTGGATCAAATAAATTGGATTAGCATGCTTGCTGAGCAGAAGAGACTTCCGTGTGTGTGTGTGTGTGTGTGTGTGTGTGTGTGTATATATATATACTGTAGAAACTCATACAGGTTTGGAAATGATGACAGAATTTTCATTTTTGTGGGTGAACTATCCATTTAAATATTTGACATCTTCTCTTTTCCAGTGAATGTGGTTATTCTTGTGCTGCTTGTCATCGCCTTTTTAATTATATTGCATCGAAATCTGCTGAATCTCAATGATTTCCTCAAGCAAGAGAATTCAGGTATGAATATGCTCATGTTAGTGACGTTCAGAAGTTTTTTAGCACCATGAAAAGTCACACCTCACTGCTTTTCCTTTAGCACACACCGTGCCTGGGATGGTCCTGCCCTTTGAGATGGACTTCCTGTCGGATCATAAGGTCATCAGGACAGGAGATGAGATCCCTGTGGTCATCACCGCTCCAGAGGAGAGACTGGGAGCTGCCGTCACCGCCATGAACAGCATCTACCGCAACAGCAAAGCCAATGTAGTATTCAATATAGTGACACTAAACGAGTCGGTGGTCCATCTTAGGTACACCTTGTATTGCATTACAGCGGTTTATTAAACAATATTATGTTACATTACAGGTAATATGATTATTTCTCATTCCAGAACATGGTTGAGTAAGACTGACATGAAACACAAAATTATCATATTTGATCCGAAGATCCTCACAGGAAAGATTTCGAATGATCCTCAGAAGGTGGAGGCATTGAAGCCGGTAATCAATTGCAAGCACTTGTATTTTTAAGTAGTGTTTGGAGTTGTGAAAATGGAAAATGTGTATCATAACTATGTGTGTATCTTATTTTTCCAGTTGAACTTTGCCAGATTCTTCTTGCCGGTTTTCTTGCCGGATACAGAGAAAGTTATTTACCTGGATGATGACGTAGTTGTACAAGGTGAAGTGCATAGTTTTATAGTTTGTATTTTTTACAAACCCCAAAATTCTCATTAATCAATTGGGGCATAACCAATTTTCTGTCCAATTAAATAGTCTCTAAAATAACAAAACCATGTTTCCTTGCCTCAATATTTTTAATGTGTTACTGTTTTTTGACACATTTGTCACTTTGTGGAGTCATAAATTAGTAATTATTTAATTAGGCAGTGGTTCAACCCTTTCGTCCTCTAGACCCACATATTCACAACAATATTCAAAGGCCCTATCACTGCAACATTTAGAGGAATTAGGATTGCTCATAGATTAAGAGATTTAAAATAATATATAATCAAAATTAATTAAAGACTTCCAGAAGTTTGGGGCTGGATTATAATAATAAATATCTTGATTCTAAGAAAAATACAAATAAGAAATATCTGAAATAAGAAATATCTAGATTTGTAGTACTTTTATTTTATTTGAAAGCTTTTTTGTTCCGTTTCAAAACATTTGAAGTTAATTTGAGCCTCCCTTGGAATTTTGCTAAGATTTAAAAATACAGCTATATTATATTAAACAGAATAGTTATTTGTGGTGTATTATTTTAAACGGTACATTATTATGAATAGTAAATATTTAAAAAAAAAGTTATACATTTATCAAATGGCCTTATTATATTTTTAATTCAGCAAGTGATGTCCAGTTATATTGGTAAATAAAATAGTTATTTGGTATATAAAAAGAAAATATAAAATTACTGCTGTAATTGCCAGTTAATTTGTCACACTAGAAATAAAATGTAAAGTTCATTGTATTGTATTACACGTAGTAGACAATCTGTATAATTAACGCATATAGAAAATCTGCTTACTGTGGAAGTATGCATACTGTAAAAACAGTAAGTTACAGTAGCGCTGATTGCAATCTTTTCTCTGGTTCAGGGGACATTCGGGAGCTTTTCGACACCAGTGTTAAGTTGGGACATGCGGCAGCTTTCTCAGAGGACTGTGACTCTGCGTCCTCTAAAGGCATCGTCAGAGGAGCTGGAAATCAGGTATGATTGTACTGTACTGATTTCATCTGACTGTATTCCAGAATTCACACTGTGCATAGAACTTCATCAAAATATTAGGGCTGACGAAGATCAATGGAGAAAAGTGAAAATACAGAATAGGACGTTTTTTTAGGACTCCTTTATTATTCAAATACAGCCATATGTATAAACCCGTTTTAACCAATTTATTTTCTATATTGTTGCGATTATATACCATCACTGCGGTATGAAATTATTCACAAGAATTTGGTCGTACCCCATTTCAAAGAAAGTTTTCAGAACATGCAATACATACCTATTTGATATATTTACATGGTTTTGCATATTTCTTTTACATGCTGCAGAACAGCTATATTGGTTTTCTGGACTTCAAAAAAGAAGCGATCAAGAAGCTTGGAATGAGAGCAAACACTTGCTCATTTAATCCTGGAGTCTTTGTGGCCAATTTAACTGAGTGGAAGCAGCAGAATATCACCAGCCAGCTTGAGTTCTGGATGGAGCGCAATGCCAAGTTAGTTTGTGTTCTGCTGTATTATGTTACTGGAAACTACAACAATCATTACGAAAATGTTAAAGATGGCTACCGTCAAATCTGTTGCCAGTTAATAAAATTTTAGGTGCCTTTGACGGCTGTTAATGGTTTTGTGGGGTTGTTTTGTTTTAGGGAGGACCTTTACAGTAAGACTTTAGCAGACAGCATCACAACGCCGCCTATGCTTATTGTATTCTACAAGCACCACTCGGACATTGATCCAATGTGGCACGTCCGACACCTCGGTAAGGAAATGCTGTGGTTCATTAATGTAAAACGCCTTCGTAAATCTCTTAGCAACCAACATCTTTTTATTCGTTTACATTTCTAGGGGTGACAGGAGCTGGGAATCGGTATTCACCTCAGTTTGTGAAGGCTGCCAAACTTCTCCATTGGAACGGACATTATAAGCCATGGGGAAGAGCCTCCTCTTTTTCTGACATTTGGGACAAATGGTACATTCCAGATCCCACAGGTAAATTCCACCCAATCCGGAGACCCGCTGAGGAAAAATAAACCCTGGTTTGGGCTACATGAAAAAAGAAGGGGAGGGGGGGGTGGACTCTGAGGCAGATATTTGACTTTGTTCGGGGATTTTTAAAGGATGTCTGGATGCAAAATATGGGGCCTTCATGAAACCTAAGAGTACCCAAGTAACTGGGACCAACATTGGAACAGAACAACAGCCAATAGGCAACATTCGACACCAATGCACTACCTCAGCATTCACTGTCTAAATCTAAAGTAATAACACTAAACCATTTATGGTACAACTTTAAAATCTTCATTTTGTATGTTGCATCCATACAAGTGTCTAGATTGATTTTAACAAGCGGTATGATCCCAAATACTGTTGGGTGAAATTATGGACCCACTCTTTTTGTTCTTCTTATTTTTGAAATGTACATTTAATTATAAAGTATTTTAGACTGCTTTAGGGCTTGAGACAAAAACCTGTGAAAATTAAAATTTCAGAATTTCTGTTTTTGACACTACAGGAACCACTTTCCCCTTGTGTTGTGTTCACTTGTTACATTTCTATGGATGCATGTTTTGTTTTTTTCTCCACATATCAGCTGTTACTCAGCATTGTCCTCAACCCGAAGGGTAAAATATGCCAATTTGTACATAAAGGAAAAAAGTGTTCCAAAGTATTGAATAAAGCTCAGTATAAGTTTTGTATGCAATGTAAGCGTATTCAACTTTTATTTCGTCAACTAAATAATACATATTTTATGATGTATTAATACATACAGACATAGAGATCACTCAGTATGCACTCCAACTGAGTGCAGTTTCACAATTTGATTCCTCTCAGATTCCTCCCTGTATAAATCTGTACATACTGGTGAAATTTTACACAAAATCGGTGTTGAAGTCATATGCGTCGTCATTGTTATGCTGCACTGAAGTCAGGTCAATGTTGACAGGGACATACTTCACTTTTTTAGTTGGTTTGGCTACAGAAGACAAAAGGCAAAACAATTGAGATTGTCAGAAGACAGTTACATAAAAAAAAAATCTGAGGAAGTTCATAGGTGTAGATCACAAAACAAACCTTTTCTCTTTTTTGTTGATTCTTGAATCTGTGTCACCACTGTTGAAACTTGAGTTTCAGCCTCAGGCTGAAAAACAAAGTGTGCCAATCAATATTCAACATCAGCCATTTACTGAAATAATGTGCTGGGAACAAAACAAGCTCTATAGACAGCAAAACACTGTAGACTTGTCACTCAGTTTGTAAAAAAAAAAAATGCAATTACATTTACAGTTGGCATTAAATGAAAATTCACCCTTTTTTTAAATCCATGTTATTGGTCTTATTGTGAATGATTCATCCATGCAAGGTTTTTTTTTTTATGTTTGACCTCGTAATGTTGAATCAAAATACCATAACTTGTTTTTCTGGTAAAAACAACAGACTTTTCCAATCATTTAGACCACTTAAACCTTGTCCCTCCACGATCGACTGCAAGCTGGCTTTCATTTTTGAGTGGACTGCCCACATCTCATAATCCAATCAACAACCAATGGACAGAAATAGCACCCATCCTATATTTCTTCTTTTTTGAAAATCTGTTTGCTTTGATGTAGGTCACTCACAATACAAGGGAAAATGTCACTTCTTCTGTACTTTAACGTAACACAATTACAATGAAAGACTTTGTGACAAGACATTCCAAATGGTTTGAAATGCAGAAACTATTTTTGTATCAGCATAATCATTTTATACACAAGTTCTGAATGAGGTTTACACATATATGCAAAATACAAGTCAAAGTTAAAAGGCTTACATAGACATTAGGGGCCAGTTTTTATAACAGCTTGCGCCAGCGCAACCATCTTTTTCTGTTACACCAAATACACAAAATAATGATCTTTAAAAAAAGCATCATATGACCCCTTTAAAATAGTACTGTCAGGATTTACTAGAAGACACACCGTGAAGAATTAGCGCTGAAAAGGCGTGGTTATTTTTACCACTCATCTTATTGAACATGCATTTCTAGGAGATTCCCTTTCAGACCCAAAATTTATGGGAGGAAGTGTATTAAAATGAATCACGCAACGAGATTTACCAACTTTTGCGCTCGTCAAATTACTGGTATTTGTGCTATAATTTAATGCCCAAAAAAAAATCACATCTTAAACTATTTTGCGCTTGCAATGGCTGCAATTATTGTTGCTAGGAGGAGACACCGCAGAGAAAAGAGGGCGTTAAGGGAGAGGATTTTCTTCCACATGTATTAATTTATTTTGAATGCCAGAAGAACATATTATTCTAACATTTCTTTTGCCAAGCCATGTTATTTTTAATTTGCTTCAGGAAATAAAAGACGACTTGGAACCCTCAACAAGGGTACTAAGCAATACCAGCTTTATCAAAACTGTTGCAACCCTTCATTTTTTGGCCTCCGGTTCTTTTCAGCGTACTGTGGCTTCTTTATTTCTTTATTTGCGACTACGCTAATTTGCGCTTGGTACATTGTGTTGATCGATATGTAAAAATATGTTGCGTCTGTGTTCTTTAATTTGTGCGTTGTTAGTAAATCACCCACAGAAATTTTCACGCTAATCTGTGCTGTTTTGGAATTGCACTCGCGCTAATTTGCCCCATTTAGTAAAACTGGCCCCAAGGCTGTCAAAATGGCTGAAAAACTTAATTCGAATTTTGCATTTAAATATTATTAACATTCAAATAATATTCAAATTTAAAAGGCATAATTTCAGTTAGGGGGGAAAAAAGCTCGTCTTCTCTCATGAGGGCAGAAGAGGGCGCATCGAGCAAAATATTTCGAATGCAGGTTTATTAAAGCAATAAAACAGCATTATTATCTGTGACAAAAGTGCATAATGTTTATAAGTCAGCATAAACAGCATCATGTATGCATAGTGTAATACAAAGGGACAAAAGACAATCACACAGAGTACTTTTTAATTTAAAAACATGAGATGCAGTGGGATGGAAAAAAAACCTCACCATAAAGTCTCAAGACATGTTTTTAAAAGTTTTTACATGGCTTCATAACATGCAGGCTTCATCTTGTGCAAGACGCGAGTGCAACAGTGATAGATGTCCCTCTACAAAAATATGTGTTCTGTGTGAATGGCTTGGTTTCAGTTTTGACGTAAACGAGATCTTCTCTGCATTGATGTTCTATTTTTCCGTATGATTTTAAATGAACATCACAGCAGCGCCGCATCTAGTGGCTTCAACTGGATAGGCTAACAAAAACATTAAAAAGCAACAACACTTACATCGTCATCGCATTTTGTGGGCCACTGATAAGGCAGCATTACACACACCTAAAATTTAAATGTTTGGATTTTTATTTTAAACTCGGAACGGATATTCGAAATTCAAATTGTTATTTGACAGCCCTAGTGGACATGGAAAGAGTTGAACATATTGGATATAATTTAGCACATCAAACTAATCTCATGTCAGCATATTAAATGCCTTGTGGCTACACTTTTAAAACTGCCTGTTGAACATTTATCCAAATTGAATGCTATGGAGTATTGTAAACGCATTACTCTAAACATGAGTTTTACGTACTGCAACAAGCCAAAGTCATTTTCTGTAGTAATTAATAGCATGACCGATCTTAAGTTGCACTGAACTTTCAATGTGCATTCTGAGAAACAATGAAGTTGGTCTCAGATACGGTTTGTGAATATCAAATCTACTAGAGTTCCTGTCAGAGTGAGATCAGAGTTGGATTAGAAGGTCATCAAGGACTTATGTGAACAACAAACTCATCATTTCTCATTGTCTCTGATGACAGAAGTGTAAAGCATCATTACTGAATTAATCGTAGCCTCTCATAGGAAGTACCTCCTCTGTGTTGATGGTCCCATCCATCTTCTCATCTGCTTCTGTTGGTGCTGTGATTGTTATGGTTTCTTTAGGTAGCTCACTGACATTCAGCACACCAGCGGTTGGGCCCCTTGCGTTAAAACTTATACTGCTCGCTAGGTTGGGAAATCGCACACCTGAGGACAGGTACACTGTTCAATTTCCACAACTTAAAATATCAAAACTGATCTGATTCGTTCAATAAACTGTAACCATTAAGAGGATCAAATCATTCCAATCTGAGAATTACCTTTCTTAACATTTTCGTTGCCCTTCCTCACTACATCCATATCCAAACCTGACCTCAGTTCAGTCACGATGGCATGAGTGAGGTATGAGGGGAGGCCCTGGTGCTCCGGAGCTCTGCTGTGGTAACTCAGTTTTGGCCTAAAACAACATCACACAAAGCTTAGGAAGACGTTTGCCAGTAACAGTGTTATTTCAGCATCACATTCTGAAGGTATGATGAACATCATCTGAAACTGACCCAGTCCAGTCGCTGAGGAATGTCATGGCTGCCAGCTCTGTGTTTGGAACGCCTCCTTTCTGCAGGAAGCCTCGTTTCTTGGCAAAGGTAGTCAAGAACTCTAAGGAGTTTCTGTAGTCTGGGACATTATACTGTAACATTATCTGAAGGAGACACATGAGAGAAGATCATCTTATTTATATGAGGTTAAGAGAAATTAACCCCCTAAAAATACAGTAAGCTGAAATACAAAAAGTATTTTCAATGTTAAAGTTCTGATACATTCTATGAAATCCCCCTTAGTTTTAGAAGCTGCCCGATCAATTACATCACAAACCAGAATACCTGATGTCTTATACTGTGGACATAAGCGATGTTGATGCTTTCAAATGATTCAATTCCAGCCATTTCCTTTGTAACCAATTCAGGAGAATATGAAATAGAGCTGGGCAATATGGCAA